GATTAATCGACAAAAATGAAGCGATTTTCAGCACATGGGAAAGAAGTTAAAATTAAGTTTATTCGCAACCACATGAGAATTAAGATATTCTGCTGTATCGCAAAATGAATGACGCTCAAGTAATATACAAACACAGTTTCTTTCTTCATATTTGCAAGTAACTGAATGCACTCTACGCAACTTTCTTACTGAGAAATTATATTCAATATTTTATCGGCCTGTCCAGTTAACTCTACTGCGTATGGAATACCGTAACGGTTTTTCGTGATTTTGTTCAATTGACAGAAAATATTCAAAAAGTGAGAACTCAAAAGTGAATGAGTGATTTTGTAGACAATTCGATTCTCTATCGATTGACCTGCTTTTAAAAAGTTTTAGCGAAAATCTCTTGGTTAGGAAATTGAAAATAATGTGAGCTGCTTCACTAAATTTATAAAACAGATACGCAAAAAGTACCTCTTATTGTTTTCAATTTCCTAACCAAGAGATTTTCGCTAAAACTTTTCAAAAGCAGGTCAATCTATAGAGAATTGAATTGTCTACAAAATCGCTGATTCACTTTTCAATTCTAACTTTTTGAAAAGTTTCTGCAAATTGAACAAAATCACTAAAAAATGTTACGGAATTCCAGTTAGCTGGACAGGCCGTTATGAGAATTGAAAAAGTCACTGAGCACTATTTCCAGACTAAATAGTTTGTATAGAGATAACGAGACAAGTTACAAGTGTACATGGACTATATATTTTGAAATTCTCATCTCTACAACCATCCATCGTACAGATCTCGGAGACCGATGTTGCATAAACCGCTCGAAAACCATCGATTAACCGCGGTTATTTCAGCTGAAACCATAGCAACACAGCATAAAAACAGACGGTTAAGCGCCCAATTAACCGCGGCTAACCGACCATTTTTCGTGTTAACTGGACGCTTAACCGTCGATTTTTATGCTGTGTTGCTATGGTTTCAGCTGAAATAACCGCGGTTAACCGATGGTTTTCGAGCGGTTTACACAATATGGGGACATATTGTTTTCTCTATATGTTGATGAAGGTGCTCTGAGAAGTGTCTTTGTACCATCGAAATTCTTTCGAATTACTATTAGTAATCAAAAATATTTTGTGTATTGAAGTTTCATATAGGACGACGATTAGTTCAGAATGGATAAACACTTCTAAAAATCAAATCATCAAAACGTTGACGGTGTTCGACGTGTAGATTCTCAAACATATCTCAGAACAGAAAAGCGGTCAGTCTCAAAGCCTGTGCGAATAGTAACGATTGGTTCAAGTTTTCAAAGGTTGTGCTTTTCTGCACCTAAAACACAATTGTAAGACAGTTTACCAAGTCAATTTTTAAATAAAAATCATTTTTTTATTTCATGTACTGTATATTCAACAAGGAGAGGATTTTTTTCAAATGTATGTAAAAATTCTTTACTGATATGCAGCGTTATAATCTTTTACTTTAGAAACTTTTGTTAGACAAAATTGTAAACGAAATGAAGAAATAGATATCAGTATTCTTTTTTGTGAAGATTACAATTTTAAAATTAAGACTAGATACATATTTATAGTTTTTCAGTAACTATTATCAATTTGTTGTCAAATCAATAGAAACATAAGAAAAAATAATACTGGGTATAATACTACCTCTTTCAACTATTGAACAACTGAACATACTGTATTTTTTATTCAGTTTTACCCTTTATCTAGTCTATTTTCTACTGATATCAGATGTATGTAGAAGTTCTAAAAATTGACGTACAAGAATGAATAAAATCCAAGATAATATTTAATAGAGCATATTTTCTTTTTACTAATTATTGCATTATACAACATTGTTAACAAGTTCTTACTTAGAGAAACCATATTCACATTCTAAAACGAATGATACTATTAGAATAAGAATAAATTGAAAAATAAGAGCAAAAAATTTTGTTTACGTAGTTTTTCCAAATGGATTAAACAATGATGATGAAGATAATGATGTTGTTATCGGATTTGATGTACCAAATGGAAATGCACCATTAAAATTCAACTAGAAAAAATGTAAACATTTTCGTTAATTTTTTCATCTGAAAATAATCTAAGTAATAGTTACATACTGGTGCTAATATTTGTGACGATGTAGCCAGATTATTTCTCTGAAACGTTAATGATGGTGAAGCCGATATAAAATCTTGATTTAATTTTGGTATATTACGACGATGTCTAATTAAAAATGGATTTTCTAAATAGATATTGGGATTTGTGGTCGGTTTCAAACCAATAATATCCTAAATATCCATCAGTAAAGTTAAGTCAAAAGAAATAAAAGTCATTCTACAGTCATACTTTATCTTGACATAATCGAACACCGATCATTATTTTTCCAAATAGATGACCATGTTTTGTCAATGCTTTTTGTGCTTGTAAACGAGTTTCATATTTAACGTGAAGATAATTCGATTCTTCAACAATCTAAATGTTTAAAATATTAATTTATTAATTTAAATGATATTGATAAAAAAAAAACTATTAAAACATACCACATGTTTTTCAATAACTCCAAAACGTGTAAATTCATCCAATATAAATTGAATTTCTTGTGGTGTACGAAAACCGTATAATGTTAACCATGTTCCATCATTGCCACTCTCATCAATATAAGAACCACTTCTAAAAGTATAAAATGACACACGCGATTATACAACAAACAAATTTTGATATCTTGAAGGAAAGGATGATAAAGTAGTTACAAACAATAAACAAAAATGTAGAAGTTACGAGTAAAAACAAAAAAAATTGCCGATATCAAAATATTTTCTGTAACAAAAATGTTATTTTTTATAAAAGTTTTTTCTAAATAGATCACTTCGATGGCCGTCGGAGGAAACGGATCTATTCTACACCTCTAAATAATAATAACAGAAATACCATCCTTTGTGTCAAATAAAAGCTTACTGCTGTTTGAATCTATGGTCGAGATATTTATCTCTAATTAGAAAAAAGTAAATATCAGAGATTTCTGACTATTACTTACGCTGATACTCCTTGACGATGTGAAAATATGTTTTGTGAATAGTCTTGATCATATTGAATACTAGACTGTCCGGTTGGAGAATAAATTGATGATGATTCAACTAAAGACAAGTGAATCAAAGTTAATAATAGAAAAGAATGATCTGTTTTTTCCTAGTATAAATACTGACAATTTCGTCGTTCAGTTCCAGCATCATCTTGTATTAAAAATCTGACACGTTTTTGATGTCCCGGTGTTGTAGTCGATGATCTTGTCAAAGAGATATCAAACGATGGTGGTGATGGTCTATAAAAATAGAGATAAACTTTGAAATAATTGTTTGAAAAAAAACAAGTGTTACATACATATCGTCATAGGGACGTTTTATTTGCGTTATGGAAAATGGAGACGATGGCTTAAAGAAAAAAAAAGAAATTATCGAATAAAAGTTGTCGAAAAGATTAAATGATAAACTCAAATACCTTCATATTCTCAGATCTGATTGAGTCTGTTTATACTCTGTTAATCTAAAATATGTCGGATCAAATAATTCAAAAATGTTTTATACAAACAATACAATAATTTCTATGATATATCTGATCACTTACAGGTACTTTACAGAAATAATTATTTTTTTCTCAAATATAAAAACATTTATTTACTTATTTTGCTGCTAAAAAATGTGACATTCATGCCCATTTGATGTTTACAGTCGTTTGTTAATAATGAAAATATTTTTCCGTACTATATTTTATCTTCGAATTAAGTGACACATACGTTGTTACTGATATGAAGTATCTGTTTATTAAATATGAAGTGCATATCGACACATTTTATTTGGCAAAGCTACGAACACTCATTCAAAAGTACAATGTTAAACTGAAAACACCAATTATATTTAACAAAAAAAGAGTCATGATCAATTTTGCCGAACAAAATTTAAATAAACAAAACATAAAAAAAAAAAACAAGTTTGAGTGAAACAAGATCATAATAAATAGTCTGAATAATGTTCATTTCCTCTACACACAATGAAACACAAAGCTAAAGCTGATCAAATGTAGAGAGAATAGATAATAACAATATTTATCTGGTATTATTTGAATTATCTGCTCATTGTCGATCATCTAAATGAATAATACACAATGAATATCAGTCAATTTAGTGTAATACAGACGCATCAAATAGTACATATAAAATGTTTTTGTAAACTTGAGAGAAACTGACGTTCAAAAGCATATGCATAATCACGAAATATTCATCATTTTAATGTTGATATTACAAAAATAACACGAATGACGGCACATCAAATGTGTAAAGAATATTTATCGCTGAACATTCGATTTTTGATAAACGAATTTTAAATCATATTTTAAAAATTGAGTTATCGTTGTCAAAGTTCCTGAAATGAAAAATGATTTATTTATATCATATGTAAGTATTACTACTAAATAAAAAAACGAATCAGTCCCTTTTTTTCTCATGCATTGGAAAGAAGACTAGAAATCAATTATTCTATGAAAATATTGGACAGTCAAAATGACAATCAAAAGAAGAAGAGGTTCAGAATGTTTCGACGCTTTCCCAAGCAAACATAAAAATTCCCTCGCAACAAATTGAAAATATGACATTTCAGTTTCTCCTTCGAAGACAGTATGACTACAGGATCATTTTCAAGAATTTCTCTAAAATAATCTTTCTTTCGGGAAGTAAAAAATTGAAAAATTCCCCTAAGTCATCCTTTTCTTCCCCGAGGATTGCTCGCACTTAAGATCTCATTCTGAATATCTGCAACGGTTAGAAGATTCACAAAATTTTAAGATATCAAGTGTGATAGTCGAAGTTTGACTATATCTAAAATCAATAAAATCAAATCAACTAATACTTCGTTTTGACTAGCAGAAAAAAAAGAAAATATTCAATTAGTTTTACCTGTTATGCTATGTTCTTTCTAAAATCAATTGCTAATCTTGTTGAAAAGTGGAACTATTTGTACTTAACTGGTATCAAACATTTTAATACACGTTGAAATTATTCTAACAAAAATTCGATGAAAAATAATTTTAATTCCATACGGTTACAGATCGAATTTTAAACAAATTTTAAATTGTTTTATGGACGACACATACTTTAAATATCTTTTCACCATTTGAAGATATCTGTTGAAACTACAATGGATGCTTGAAACATTTCTGTTGTTCTTACTAACATCTTGCAAGGACAAATTTAATTTTTCCTGATTTGTTTCTATTCATGTATGTGTAAAATTTATAAAAAATCAAATTATTTTAAAGTGTTGAACGTATATCATAACTTTGGCTGGAGAATGTAAACAAAGTAGAAAATTTTGATAGTAAATCATCTATAGTATAAGACAGAACTTGAAATGATGAGTAAACAAACAAACATCAATATATATGTCGCGATGATCTAATACAATATCAGAAAAATATTTTTGCACATGTTAATGGTGCTAAGATCAGTAAACGTCCATCATGTGTTCAAATTTAGAAAATCTAAAACAATTATAGAATAAATCACATATTAGCACACTTTATCGGATGGTCCGGGTATAATGAGTGCTTTTGTTTTGTTTTCTGTTCTTCTCCATAAAGTCTCAACCTTTTTCGAATTTTTTAACCAAAAGATGCGTCGTGAAATTTTCAACAAAATCATACCTAAACTTTAATTTCAGAACTTCAATCAAGAACACTACGCAAGTTATACGAAAGGAAAAAACAAATGAAAACTTTGTAAATCTGGTATTTTTTTCAGACTTGCTATTATTTCTGTAAAAAAGTGCGGGAAAAGTGAGAACGTAATTCTTTTTGTACTTTTGAATGTGCTCTTTCTCGTAATCTGTAAACAAACTTTTTTAGAGCAGATAGTGTGCTGGAGAACTAAGTTTCAAAATATGTCAGAAATTGACAACCCCCATTTCGAACAATCTGCTCAAGCAAGAAACGAAAAACATGATCGAAGTTTTGATTTTGCAATTAGGTAGAGAAGAGCAATCAGTTCTGTTCAAAACAAAACAAACCCAATCGAAAAATCATTTGTTTTGATGAAGTTATGGGACTTTTACTGAAAGCACCACGCTATACCTAGAATTTAAAAAATTAATGAAAAAAATGCGTGACAATCGACAGAAAAATTATTATTTCTTCATGGATTTTGTTGTGAAAAAATGCGAAGTGTAACTGAAAGATAGAGCGAAGTCAGAGCTACATAATGGCTGATTCAGCTTTCTTACTTTCTAAACGTTAACACAGGAAATCACTTTTGAGTTTAGAAAGTTTTCATGCTTTTTCTCTTTTCGTATAAATCATGTACTTCCCTATATTTCCTTCCTGTACGGCTTGTCCAGCTCTATTTTTTGCTCTTTTTCAAAAATTGCAATAAAGCTACAAACTAATCTGAAATGGCAACTAGATAATTAAGCAGGTTAAACAGTTCTCTACAAAATGAAAAGTGTCTCGGCTCTGACCGTTGATTTGTTATACAGCTGTTGTACAAACAGTCCCCAAAATTTTGGGGCTATCTGAAAAACGTGGCGAAAAGAGTAAAGACGAGTGGGCAAAAATTGAATAAGTATACCACTTTGCAGAAAATTGCTTGCTCTACAAGATATGATAGCTTGTCAAGTTCGAAACTATTCTGATTAATCTGTATTAATCAAAGAAATACCGTGACGCTGTGACACTTTTAACCGTTTTTTGTCACTGCATCACCGTGTTTTCTTTGATTAATACAGATTAATCAGAATAGTTTCGAACTTGACAAGCTATCACATCTTGTAGAGCAAACAATTTTCTACAAAGTGGTATACTTATTCAATATTTGCCAGTTCGTCTTCACTCTTTTAGACACACTTTTTAGACAGCCCCAAAATCGATTTATTGCAATAATTTTATGAAAAAGAGCAAAAAATGGAAGCGGTTAGCTGAACAAGCCATGTGGTTTAAAGCGAACTAATTTTTAAGAAAACCAAAAATCTAGACATCATATTATATTTGTACTACTTCTGATATAAAAGCCCACCTTATACATCAAGTTCTTTTGATAAAAACATTGTTCAGATTGTTCTGTCGAACTCTTCTCATTGTTTGTTGGCAAATACTTGTTTATTTAATTTCCTCTGCTCATACTCTCGCTAGTTAAAGTATCTACTAGGACTAGCAATTAGATCCGAACTTAGTTATAGCTCTCATTTTGACCACTCATTACCATGTGCGTTGGTTTTAATTGGCTGGATGTGTTTTATACCTGTCTATGCACTTAATTCATAACAACTCAGAAAGTTGATAATAGCCTCTTTAATAATTCTATAGAATTTGACATCGTCAAAATTTATGATCTTTCATATAATTGATAATAAGAAAAAATTAGAGTCAATTTCTACGACACAATTGCCTGTCATGGTCGATGATAAAACCAATCGCGCAGTTTCCTAAGACAGTAGTGGCTCATTTATATAGATCTTTTTCATGTTATCTTAGATTCATAGGATTGAAGGTCATTTAATTTGCTGACATATCTTGTTTTTATGCCCATTCGTATAAAAAACATGCCATCATGGTTGAGGCACTTTCTTCTACTTCTAAGAATGCCGAAAAGGCTAGACAAAATTATATCTTAAATAGAACTTATTCGACACTGTTTTTCATTTCGAAGCACTTCGACTCATATCGACTCAGCACTTCGAAGGTCTATAACTGTTTGTGAAATAAAAACACAAATTCAAAATTACGAAATGATTTAGCATATTTTTGACAGAATTTATGAAAAATAAATAACTTGTCTGTTGATATGTTTTCTTACTTACACTTGCTGCTCGATGCTACTCGATAAAAAATGCGTTTTCAATGTTTATTTCTAGAATTAAAAATGCCTAACGACGATAGTGACGTTGAATCGAACGGTGGTAATAGTTCCGAAAGCACATTTCCAACTGATCCAACATATGGTTTATCATTATTAGACGTATGTACTATATCATTCATATTAAGACTAGTTTATTCACAAAAAATGAGTCATCAAAGGTCCCAGACCTGTAATTATGATGACTCAAGTCATACAACAAAAAGAGTAACGAAGAACAGACGAAATAGAATAAAAAGAATCACAAAAATACGTGAATGAATAAATAAATAACACGATGTGATCACGTAACTCTGATACCGTAGTGGAATTTTGTGAGGAAATTTTGACTTTTGACCTTTTGATTCTTTTCCTAGTTTTCTGTGTGATCTTTTGAAGTTCTAGTTTTCTTTGTATTTTTTGAACAAAAAAAAAAATCACACAGAATCCGGACATATTTTATTTGATTCAGAAAAGTTTGTTTGACCGTTGTATATATTGCACAGCTCTGAGAGTTGTTCATTAAAAACCTAGGAAAGGAATAAAAGATCAAAATTTCGGCACGGAATTTCACTACGGTAGCAGAGTTACGTGACCACACCGAACTAGGGATGTTCAGTTCTCGGTTCTGGAACCAAAATGGTGGTTCCGGTTCTCGAGTTAGAACGGAACCGAAAAGAACCGCGGTTCCGATTCTCGGGTTAGAACCGAAAAATAATTTTTCAGACAGTAACAATTCAATGAAATAGAATTTATTTTATAGTAAACGAAAGGATTGTTGTAAATGATGACAGGCAAACATATCTTTTCGCAACTTTGTCAGCAGCGTATTTTCATTTTATTAAAAGAAAGGCAAGTCAAAAAGTCTTGATTCCGAAAAAAAGGAGCCGTCGAAGAAATCGCGTTTCCAGCTCCCGATAAAGAACCGAAAATAAGATAACTGCGGTTCTGGTTCTTCATGAGAAACGAGAATCGAACATTCCAGCATCGAACACGAACAATAGATGAGCATAGACATGACCAAAATTTATTTTAGGAGATACTGAGATACGATAATTTTTAAAAATACCAACGAAGAAGAATCGATTACTGATTCTGAAACTTTGTTTCAGACAATGACTATAGAACAGAAAAAAAAAGAAAATCCATTAACACGAGGAGAAATACTCAGACTGATGAAAACGTATAGAAGAAGAACATTGAGGTGAATAAACTGAAGAAAAAGTCGATGATAAATTTTGAAAAACAGCATAAATCTAAAGTATTTACGGCAAACGGAGAGGTTTGAAAGAGAAAGTTGTGACAACAATATTCTCTCGAGTCGTAATATCCTTCAAAAAATTCTACAATTCATTGATCAGTAAATAGTGTAATGAATATTGATTGACCATTAGCGACATTTTGTAAATTGAATACAGGTGAATGATGAAATCGCATTTGATACGTTCAGAAATATTTTCTTTATAAAAACTAAGTTGTTTGCAAGAAAATTTCAACATTGGGACGTCATTTTCTATGAGTTTTGTTTTTTGAAAATTCTCGTCTCGCTAGTTCTGATCGACTTTATTTAAATATCATTTTTTATTTGAAACTTTTTCAACTATCATAATCCTTATTTAGAACATACTTGAACTATTACAGTCGAAGAAAAAAAAATCAAAAACAAGCCCGCCTCTGTAATATTTTTTTCTAGTACTGACTGTACAGCAGAACTATTATCGATAGAAACAAACATTTTTTTGCAATCGTGTTTGTAACACTTACAGTGCAGATACGTCAGAAATAGAAACATCTAAAACTATAGACTATTAGTTTTTGAAAAGAGTATCACTACATTAAGTAGAAAAATCTTTATTTATCCGAGTTCAAAATTAAAGCTTTTAGCAAAAATAAAAAGAAACTATATGTTTTCATCGTTATTCTCGTACAATATTTCCCATAATAATACCCATTTCCTATATTGTTTAACTATTTCTTTTTTTCGTATTTCCACAATTCGTTCCATTGATTTCATTGATGATGCTGTTGCACCTACAAGTGGATCATTTTCATTGGCAACTGAATTTATTTGTCTATTCAATTGTTTATATGATTGTGTTGTAGATTCAGAATCATAGAAATTATTTTCATTTTGTAGTAATGGTAATTTTCTAACTTGATCTAGAAGTACCATTCCTTGTTCAATAATCTTAGAAATACATTTTTCACGCCAATTTAACGGTAGTTCTTCAACATTTTGAAATATTCGTTGTAACATTTCATTTTCTTCTTGTTCAATTTGTTTTAATTGTTGTTGACGTTTCGTTGCTGGACGACGTAGTTTTGTTGCCGAGATTAATGTTGTTGATGTTGCAGTTGATATATTTCCATCGTCAGCATAGTCAGATGTTTCTTCTTCAGGAATTGATAAACCAAGCATACGAAGTGGGGTAAAAAATTTTTGTTTAGCTCGAAATAGAGTACCTAGTGATAGTGAAGACGAGAGTGAAGTAGATTTTCCATTAGAAGAAGTCAACTCTGATAAATTATTAAATGTTGGACCTTTTTTAGTTGGTACTTTTGATATATTTAGAACAGTAGTGGGTAATTTGATTTGTTGCCAATTTTTCACTCTTAATTCTAATTCTCTTGCAATTTCATCTTTATAACAGTTTAATAGTGAATATTGTCCAGTGAATGTGAGAGCATTTCTTAATTGTTTTTTGTGATCAACAATAACACTACCGTATAAATGTTCGAGATATCTTTTATGTTCAATTTGTTCATTATCATCTTTAATAATAGATAATAATCGTCGTTTATTAATGTTGTGTTCATCATCACTTAATAATGTGTCACTACTAATAACACCATATCTGATTAGTGTCGGTAATAATTGTTCAAATTCATCGGGAGTTTTATCACGAATTTCCTCTAATTTCAAGTGATCTTCGTCCGATAATTTGTCATTATATTGTAAAAGATTAAAATATTTACGACGAGAAGCAACTGAAGGTTTTGATACAATAGTGTCAGTATCAGACGAAGCATAATCACCATCTGTTGATGCATAACTTGTTGACGATAATGATGGACGACTATATTTTGACACGGATGGAATATACGTTATACTTGAGCGTGATGCCGCTGTTGAAACAGACATTGCAGGATTTGAAGATCGACGAAGTCTTGGAGCGTACAAGGGAGCCAACGATAAACGTTTTTGATAAAGTGGAATTATCTCTTCATCTAAAAACATATTCACAGCACTAATTAAATTATTCAAGATCCAAATAGATCGATTCATTCTTATGAGCAATAACTACTATGATTTGCAGTCAACAGTATTATTACAGATGAACTACCATGTTTTATTATCAAGAATTATTTACCTTCGTCATGATTTTTCGTTTGTAAAATTTTTTCTTCATTATTTTGATGATTTAAATCGATATCGGGTAATGAATCTGTAATTTGAACAGGTAAATATGAACTTCGACGTATTTTAAAATCAATTTTAGGAAGTTCTTGAGGTGGAGATGTTGACACTTGGAAAAATAAAATAAAAATGTTGACGTGTTGTATACTATTGATCAAATTAACATTACTTACTATTCATTGATTGTTGTTCTTCTGCTGCTGGAACAAAAGTAACATGTTTCGGATGTTGGGATGTAAGATCAGGTGGTGTTATATGCTCTGATGATGAATGCTTTAGTACCCACCTATTAACACGATCAGTTTTGTCATCGTACGTATTTTCATCTGTTTTATGTAAAATTGATTTTGTTCCTGATCTGGCATGGTTAGTTGCCAATTTTAAATTTGCTGGTTGCTTCTTATATTTTTTAGTACCCTCTTTTGAGTTTAAAGAGGGAAATTGGTTGTTTACAGTGTCATCCGGGTAGACAGGCATACCTGTAATTGGACTAGTTAAATTTCGAGTGATACTAACGTCATTAGTGGTTGAAATACGTGGTGTTCGGGTGGAAGTATGTCTTATTGAGCTGAAAAAGTATAAGAAGATGTAAACCGGTGCCTGTTTCTTCAATTTATCATAAATCAGCTCTTTTCCCAAAGTACATTGGAAGTTAACTATCTTATACACGACTGATTAGAATGAAGTCTTCAGTAATCTTTACAATCAGAAGTCAAAAAAGCCCTACGTTGGAAAAAAACTCACAGCATTTTGTGTGTATTTCTATGGTCTGTTTTTTGGTGAGAAGTTAAGATTATTAAACCTGCGTTCTATATGTGCAATTGTGAAAATTAAAAAGAACTGTTTTCAACAGGAAAAAGAGTGATCAATCAACCAGATGCACACAATAATAAGTTGATGATGACGTTTAGAATAATTAACATATTAATAACCAAGGTCTTTTGGTATACAATACTATTCGTAATGAACATTTTTGGTTTATTATTAGTGAATCTACGTCATTTTTAGTAATAGACAAATAAATTTGTTTGTCACTTTTATAAGTGCTTTCTTCCCTTTCTGTGCGCTCTCAGAGTAGAGATGTGCAGAGTAGCTGTTTCTCGAGTCCTGGTCTTATCCTGTGAAAAACGTTGTATCCTCATCCTGTAACACCGGAGCCCTGGCCCTACCCTACGATATAATTCATCGAGATTTATTAAACAAAGTCCTACTCTACCCTGCAGGATAGGATTTGATGCATTTATCTTGGTTTTTATACTGTAATGAATTCATCTGGTTCAGCTCCCACAGAGGATACTGTTGTGTTTTCCATAGAAAGAATACATGTGTAGAAACTCTTTATTCGACGGCCTATGATGTTTACAGACAAATCAACATGATTTTACATCTCTAAGGAGATGTTTGTCAAACATCATGGGATGTCGAATAAACAGACTTCGGACTTTCTAGTAAATACGCTTTGGACGAAAAAAGATACTCTGAAAGTTAATCAGTATTTGTGTGTGTACATACCGTTGCTGCTGCTGCTGTCGATTATTTAATGTGTTATCCATTTGAATGAAGAGCCAAAAAAGATGAATATTTTATTACTTTTTGTTTTGAATATATAACAGCATAATTAATGTAAAGGATAATAAGTATGTCAATTTACTAGTCATGACATGTTTGTTATCTCAAAGATTGTAAGTCCCGCCGATGGAAAGTTTTACAGAAAAAAATGTAAAGAATGGTATTTGGAGTAATAATGGCCTGTTTCTTTTTTAATATAGAGTCATCTGTTTGAATAGTTTATTAATTCTTTCTTTTGTTTTATGATGTAAGAGTATAATATTAACTTATATTAGAGAGATAAAGGTGTGCAAATAAAATAACATTCAAAAACTTTTCTTTGTTTCTTGACTTAATAAATTATATCAAATAAATTTTATTCTTATAAATGTACATCAACAAAGAAACAACACGTTCTTAGAAACAGAAAAAAAACAACAACAACAACAAAAACCACTTCAGTATACAAGATAGTAGTGTATGAGTAGATGTAGAGCATCATGTGCTTCATCTTATATCATGAAACCCTTGGAATAAACTTAAAAAGTAGTAGTTAAAAATAATTTTATGTTATTATAATAGTTTTTCATGTTTTATTGTACGATTCTTGTTCGATGAATGACTCTGTACTTTGAAGTGTCCATTTGGTATCTATAAAATCAATCTCAGATAGACAATTTTAGTCTTTCGACAGATTAATTTTGAGGAAACGTCAATGGAACGCAACAGTTGGATCAGTTAACATTCAACGGTTACGCCGATATCCCTACTTCAAACCTTCTTTAAATGAGAAATTGAGTGTTTTCCTTAGAATATAGAAAATATTCATAATAATAGTGATTTCCTTAGTTCTCGTTCATATTAAAATGACTTTTAAATATCAGACCAAATGTACCAACTATAATATATCCGTTATATTGGGTAAAAAATCGCTATTTATCTCGATCTAATATTGAACTACAATTTACATAATCCATCGTTTAACAAGAGTTCTTTCTCACAGTGGAATGTTGGGAAAATTAAAAAAAAATTATGTTTGCACGTGTCTTCTCTACAAAAAAGAACAAAAGTCTAGCGATTGTGCTCATAAAATATGAAAAAATAGAAAACTACACGAAAAGTACTGACAAAACTTCAAAACGAATCCACTTTTTCACCAAAAAATATGGGACTTTCGATTTTAGTGCAACAAACATGAGACTTCCTTCTTTTTACTCTTTTTCAAAAAAATAGTCATTTTCAGACAGCAGATTTCCATCGTTGTTAAAATTCTTATAACTCTCCTAAAATAAAGCCTTTTCAGTTTATAGAGAAATGCTAGTCCTAGAGAAAATTTTTAATGACAGTATTTTGGCACGCGTGTGTATCTTTGTCGATGCTCATGAAAACAGAGCATGAAATACGTATTTCCAATACCAAAACTCTTTTTACAGGAATTTTTTTGTGAGAACATCTGTTATATTCGAATACGAAAAGTTCAATAATTTTCCTTCTTTCAATAGAAATGATATGATTACATTTTTCTTATTTAGAGAATTTTTCGTTTTTAAAAAAATATTGGTTCTTGTCCTGTGTCGAACTTTTTTGTTGAATACCCCCAGTGACGTGTGATTACTGCAATATTTCTAGAAAACCATTCGACAGTTAAATTTCTGATGAGTTCAGTATCATATACAAATGGCAAAATTTCCAAGTTTTCTCCTACGAACTCGTCGACGTACATGAGCTTTAGCTTGAGTTACAGAAAGACAGTCTAAGTGGGAGTCAACCACGCCGGTAGTCTACAAATAAATTAAAAATCTATCATCGATATTTGCTTTTTGATTGTTAATATTTGAAAAATACCGCACGATATACCGATGGTATTATGCCAATACTGAAGATACAGGTGGGAATGTACGAAAAAAAAAGATTATAGTTTATTATTTATGATCCACTTGTCATAATTTTTATTCATATGTATAATAAAATAAAATCATGACGAAATTTATTCTAATATCTTTTAAATGCAAGTTTATTTCATGACTACTATAAAATCTAATTTTATCTACAGCATGGATAGTCACGCAGAAATACTTGTTTTGATGATACATAAGAATTTTAAATAACATAATGTTTAGATTTAAGTAATTGACTCGTATCTGTATATAATTACACAGTTAAGACTAAACATTCCATATACGTCACAAAATGCAACTGTTCCTTTTACTCACTATTTTGTTAATGTTTGATGTGATTATATGTTCAAAGATGTAAAACTAAATTTTGAATATAACACCGAGTCTATTTTTCATCCAGTACGATAATAAACTGACATAATATTGGCGAACTCAGTATCTAACTGAGATATGCCACTCTATACAAGATATAGAGAGTATTGTTATATTTATTATGATCTGTATTATGAATATCAGTAGTTCCCTACATACGGATGTCTAGGAGTGGGACAGTTTCAGTTCTCATTGTTTCTAGTAACTGGTCATTGATTACCATTTTTTTATAATCAAGATGTGGAAAAGTTGATGCTTATTTATCTTGTCTTTTATACTGTAATGAACTCATCTGGTTCATCCTGGTTCTACAGAGGATACTGTTATGTTTTCCATTGAAAGAATACATGTGTAGAAACTCTTTATTCGATAGCCTATAATGTTTATAGACAAATCAACATGATTTTACATCTCTAAGGAGGTGTTTGTCAAACATCATGAGATGTCGAATAAAGAGTTTCTATACGTGTATCCTCTGTGGGAGCTGAACCAGATGAGTTCATTACAGTATAAAAACCAAGATAAATAAGCATCAACTTTTCTACATCTTAATTATGAAAAAACAGTAATAGATGACCAGTTTCAGTTACGGTAAGTGGAACTGTCTCAGCTCAACTGATGTCAAAAGTTTTCCTTTAACCTGTGGTTATGCTTATTATTCATACTTTTTGATGAACATGGGTAGAAAGTAAAAAAAGGCGTGAACGTAGATGTCTAGTTAGTGTCGACGTTTTATTGAGCATAGATAATGATCTAGTGTTTTTCTCCATTTACAGGATACTTCACCATCAGCTGGTACACGTAATATCAATGCTGCTCTTAGATCGGGTACAGCGACGACGAACAATCGTCAATTGAAAGATGTCATTGAAAAGAAAAAGTATCAACATGGTATTCAATTATTAAAAATTGAATTAAGTCAACGTGATTTATTAATACAAAATCAACGTATTGAATTTTCAGAAAAAATCGAAGAATTACAAGAAAGATTAGCCGAAGCAGATTATCAAAAACAAATATTACAAACAAAATTAGATTCACAAATACAAGTATATAGAAGATTCTTTTCTCTTTCAAAAATAAAATAAATAAATCTATTCATTTTAAAATTATTTTTAGATTGAACGTGAAATGTCGATGCATCAACAAGATGAAATTCGTCAACAATTACAACATATTATGTCAAAACAAAAAGAATTAGAAGATGTTAATTATCGTCTATTATCAAAATCAAATGAGATTAGAAAAAGTTTACAACGAAAAATTTTACCATCAGATGATGAATATCAACAATTAAAAACACTTGATGATGAACAAATGACACTAAAAGATTTCATCATGGTATGCACAACTAACTACTCTAATAACCAAAACAAAAAAACAATTTCTAATCAAATTAAATTTTTTAGGTTCGATTTTATGAAATAGTAAAACCATTGGAACTTCAAATTGACGATTTACAACGATCTCAAACACTTTTGGATACACATTTATCAACTAGTAGTCAAGATTTAATGCAAACTCAAAGAGTATATTGAATACGTGTAATGTTAATATAAAAATTTCTATATTCTTTTTTATACCATTTTAGGCTTTAGATGATGAACGTCGTTCTTGTCATGCACTTCAAATGCAAATTCAAAAATTATCATCAGAAATGAATGAATATAAAAATTTAAGTGAACAATATGATTTTAAAAAACAAAATTATGATAGAATTAAAAAGTAGATCATATATTTCTGTAAAATCTTTACTCTATTTTCTTTATGTCTCGTTTTTGTTTTTTCTTTACCAGTGAACGAGATAATTATGAGAGACATGTCGTTGAATTAGATCGTCAAGTAATGCAAGAAAATCTTCAAATACAAACAATGACGAGAGAAAAAGAGGGTCTACTAAAAGAGGTGAGATTTTAATCAATTTATACTATTTATAAATTTATGTTAAAATAAAATATATTTCTACAGTTGGCTGAAAATCGAAATGAAATTGTTATATTACGTCAAGATAAAGAGTATTTAACTCGACAATTAAATGATATTCAAAATAAATATTATTCAGCTGAAGAAAAAATTAGTACATTAGAAACACAAGTGGACGATGTTAAACGAGCAAAAGAAACTTTGTATGAAAAATATATATCAGCAAGGTAAAATAAATAAAATAAACAAACAATTTGTCTAAATAGATAGAGATTCTAACAATATTTAAATCATAAAATTATAAAATTTATTTCTATTTCTTCTATACTTTAGAGATACATATAAAAATGAATATGAAAATAAACTTGCAGTCGAATTAGATCAATTACGTTCAAAAACATCATTAGAAATTGATAAATTACGACATAGTGTCAAAGAAATGTATGAAAGAGAAAATAGGTAAGACAATTGAAATTTATAAATTATATCTTTTAATATGTGAAATTTTATATGATAGAGGTTTTCAACATGGTCGGGAAGAGGCATTAGTCGAACGTGATCGTATTGCTCAAACTGAACGAGAATTACAACGTAAATATGATGAGTTATTGAATGAGTAAGGGTATTAAAATAAATATAATTTATCTTGATTAATTAATTGATATTTTATTTCTATGTTTGACTATTAGACATCGTCAATATCAAAGTCAAACAGAAATTCGTTTGGCTGATCAACAATCCGAATTGAAAATGAAAACATTTGAATTAGATCGTTTACAGTTATTGTATGAAGAAAATTTAAAAAATTTAAAATCATCTCAAATTGATATTGAAAAATTACAGAAAAAAAATGATGTAAATCTTGCCAATTATAGAAAAGCATTCATATATACACATTTCACTATTTTTTTTTATCTTCTTATAGTTAATTCAAAAAGAATATTTTAATCTTCAAGTTCAATCGGATAGACGAATGATGGAAATTGATACCGAATTAAATGAAAAACGAACAAAATTACAAGTATATGAAAAAGTTGAACAAGAACTCGATGAAGTTGTCATGCAAGCAGCACAAGGTACGTAATTGTATTTATCAATCTAGAGTAAGAGTAATCGTAGGATTAAAATATAAAAGACAATATGTTCTATCGACAAAATTGCATTTGTATCGAATAAAAAAGATAAGACGTATAAAACTGTCATAAATATAGTTTAAGATACTACGTAACTAGCCTATTATCGTAGGCTGAATTCATGACGGACCTTTTTCAACTTTCTAATCGCTTTCTGGTCGAAATCTAGTGGGTTATAGGTTATCGACCACACTAATCCAGAATATCCATATGCGACGGGGCACCAGTCCTTTCTAGAGCGGTTTTCTAGAAAATTGATTTTTCAGAAACCTCGAAAAGTCCCTGAAACTTTCTCTTAATAGATCACGATTGTAGCCCACGAAATTTTGATCAAAATGAGACATCTCCCATATATACACGACCTTTCTTTGCAAAGTTATAGAATTTACAAAAAAAGCCCTAAATTAGTTTCGTATTTCTGTAGCTTTGAGTTGACAATGAACATTTAGGGCTTTTCTTGTAAATTCTATAACTTTTTAAAGAAAGGTCATGCAGAGGTGGGAGGTGTCTCATTTTGATCAAAATTTCGTGGACTACAATCGTGATCTATTAAGAGAAAGTTTCAGGGACTTTTCGAGGTTTCTGAAAAACCAATTTTCTAGAAAACCGCTCTAGAAAGGGCTGGTGCTCCGTTGCATATGGATATTCTGGATTAGCGTGGTCGATAACCTATAACCCACTAGATTTCGATCAAAAAGCGATTAGACAGTTAGAAAAGGTCCCTCGTCAACTCTAACTTCAATAAGAACTTCCTTCTCTTGTTTTGTTTTCCTTTCCTTTATTCTATTAGCAGTTGTTTATTTTGTTTTTGTTTGTTGTATAAAAAAGGTTCTTAATTTAAAATTGCATTTTAATAATGTTAATTGTGAAAGCGTACTTTTTGTCATTCTATATCGATAAGATAGAAGTGAAGAAATCCACTCTAAAAAAACACTCTCGGCCACTCATGTAACTAGTTTGCAGAATATATATAAATGTTGTTGACATAGCGGTATTGAACGAAAAGGCAAGACATTATCATATGGTAGTAAAAATTCAGAGTTTGAGCTTGGATTTTGAAAAAATTTGTATTCGACACAATTCAAAATTAATAAAAACGCAACTCCTCACATCACTAAAAAGAAGTGTAATATCAACTCCAATGTTTTTCGTCATTCCTTTATGCAGTTGTTTCGTTCATCTACATGATAGTGAAATGCTTCACTACATTTGTTTATGGAAAAAAATTGATTGTTTGACTTTTGATTTTTTCTTTTACATGGATAGATAGGTATGTTGTTAGTCATTCCACGGTTGTTTTTCTGTACGGTTTTAGAAAGTTTCTAGAAGCTCTGAAAAATGTAGAGTTCTAAAAATTACTGTCAGTCTCATCGTATGTTGCGTCTAACAGCTTTATGGAACAACCGATTCGTTCCTAAATAAAACATGGCACAAGTATGTAATGACCTCGTCGTTGAAAGTTATAAGCGTTTTTTCCAGAAAAGCTTCAAATACATCAGTAGATAAATACCATATTTTGTTGTCAGCAGTTCTTCTTCCTACAGTGTTGTCCAGTTCTTCGTCTATAAGATTCGTGTGTATTTCAATGACTTTTTTGTTTGAAAGCTAAAGCAAAAATCCAAAAAATCTACCGAGGTAATTTTCGAATTTCGTTTCTTCTGCTGAGAAAACGGCATTTCATTGACAAGAACGCGAGAATTTTTTTTCGTTTTAACTTAAATCGTGTGCCAATCAGCTATGGAGGCGAAATTTAAAAATCGTGTCGGATCATTTATAGGGAAAAGTATCTGTTTGCACCCAAAAACAAATCCGACTTCTCTAATTGTCATTAATTCTGCGTAAGATGCATCTTACAAACAAGTCCATTTTGTTTCATCTGATTCATATAACTCCTGAATAGATTAAAATATCGAACTTAAATTTATATCATAGCCTTTTTATTTGAGAAAATACAACTTCTAAAATTTTAATCCAGATCGATAGCAACGCGTAGAAGTTTCTTTTTGAGAGAGATCCTACTTCAAAACAGCAGACTGGCATCATATAAGCCTATTTATAACTTCAGAGTACGCCGAAAGTCTTGCAAATAAAAATTCTATTGAAGTTTGTGACAGTTTTATACTTCTTGCTCTCTTCTCTTCTTCCCGCTGTTTTTGTCTTTGGGTTTTATGATAAAAATAATGTATTAATATTTTAGTTGAAAATGATGGTGAGGCAGATAAAGTATTATTCTCCTACGGTTATGGGGCAACATTACCCACCGCGGCTAAACGACGCTTGCAACACAGCGTTCATCTAGCAAAGCGAGTTATACAATTAGAACAAGCAAATACATCACTGAGACTAGAATTAGATAAAGAACGAAAGAAAACAAAAGACACTTACCAACAGGTATTTATGTGTCAATGCGATGTATTCATTTTAATCTGATTTATTTCTGTTTAAAGTTGCAATCAGCAAATACAATTCTTGATCAAGCTCAACAACCGTATGATTTTCTAATAGCAACAGTTCGAAATAAAGATCAACAATTAAAAAAAAGTCAAGAAACTATTGAACAATTAGAAAAACAATTACAGTAAGAAACTTTAGTGAGTTAATTATCTTTGATTATATATTATTGAATTTTAGAGAAAATGATATGCAAAAACAATCATTGCTGAAAACAAATAATCAATTGACGAAAGATATTGAAAAACTATTAGAATATCAAGAGGTAAGATAGAAGAACACGCTATCTGATAAAGTGAGTGGTTTTAAAGGGAGAAAAAGTATTTCCCACCGATATCATGATCCAATTGAAGCTATGAGAAAACGAGAACATTCGAGTCTAAAGACCAGCACCTATGCTTTAAAGATGAAGATGATTCATCATGTGCATAATAGTTTCAAATTCAAATAGCATCATAAATCAACCGTGTGTTAGCTTTTTAACAAATATTAAAGATCATTTATCACCTGATACACTACTCTAGGGGATGTCTAGTTTGTCTGGTCAGATACCTGTAAGTAAAAAGGTCCTTGCCTGTTTTCCTGGTCAGGACCTGTTTTTCGCCTGATCAGTGAAAGAAATCAAGACTGCGAGCTTGTTATATATATGCAAAAATTAGGTGTGCTGCTCGCTAATTGCGCACACTGCGCAAAAATTAGTAAAAACCCAAAGCGTTTCGTGGAGACCCTCTGAAGACCTTTTAATATAACCATCAAACTCGGAATGTCGTTAGATATCTCTTATTCAGCACAGAAATCTCTAAGACATTACTCATCACCTATGAGAATAACTTTGAAATTTTTCGAAGGATTAGTGGTCACTATATACTACGTGACTTGGCAAAACGAAACGGTGATTATAAAAAAAGCCTAGCTCTGGTCTTGAACCTGACCAGTGTCTGTTTCTCAGAAAATACCAAGACCAGACAAAAAAAGTCAAGATCAGACCAAGATTTACTATGTGTCTAATCAGTAGAGAAAACAGACTCTCTTGATCTGGTCTTATCACTTTCTTGTTCTGACCTTGGAACTGGTCAGAACAAGAAAGGAAAACCAGAAAACAGACACTTGTAAATAAATAAGTCTTCACTCTATTTTCAAGGCTAGACAAACTGGACATTCTCTAGGGTAGTGCGTGGGACAGACAAAAAATGACAAAGTTAGAAACTATTATGCATTATTGATATCAGCCTGTTTTCTCTTCCTTTTTTCAATTTATATTTCTAAGAGTCTATTGTGATGGAAAACTAGTTGACCACTTCATTCTTCTTTAAGCTCTCTCTATTTATAACTTACGAAGCAGAACTGGAAGCGAATTTCACGATTTATTATTCGATCCCACTCGATTTAACTAGAAAAGTGGACTCGATTCGAAATCTAGTCAGATCAAACCAATTCAGATTTTAAAAGTATTGACTCGAATCAAACTTTGAACATCATGAGACATATTAAATGTAACTCAGGCTTGATAGGAATCCTACACGGCTAAAACGCGTAACTGTCACCCTCAGATGCGGTGGGTTGAGCGATATTTTTTCTCTTAAACCCGCCTTAAAAGCACATCATTAGACGCAGTTTTTTGCGCTGATTACAAATAGCAACTTTAAAACGAATGAAATTTTTAAATCGAAAATTCAAATTTAAAATTTAGAAGTTTTTTTATTTCAATTTTCTGACCTACTTAGTTTATTAAAAAGTTTCAGAAAGTATATCAGTGGATAAAGAATTAAATTCTCTACAAAATGTACTATTGACTTTGTCGAAACAATCTTAAAAAACGCATTTTGCACACTCAATAAGTTTTTGCTGGTTTTTGTCGAATTCGAAATAGTACTTTTTTTGGAGCAATTCTACGAAAATCAAAAACATTTCTCCCACCGTTCTTTTTTGCTTAGTTTGATAGAGGGCACTCGATTGCATAAGGGTCCGTGCAGATCAAGTTTATAGAAGTCTTTTTTACCAGTAGAAATATAACGATAAAACCCACCGAAAAAGAAAGCAAAAAAATGATGTAATCCAGTCGCGACATGTAATTCCGTCACGGAGCCATTTCGCTTGTTTCTTTTCATTTAAGCATTTTTGAGTGAAAGTAAAGAGATGATTCGAAAGCTCTTTTCATGCTCTACAACTTTTATATTAGACTTTTTTCTGAATATGTTTCGTTTTAGAGTATTTTTCAAAGTTTGTAGAGCACTAGGAAAAAAAGGCTAAAAAATATAATTCCGTCACGACATCTATTTTGCTCATAAAAATCGTTCTACTTAACCGACGCATTCGAAATTTTTACCACAAACCAAACATTCTACCGCACATCTCTGATAAAAATTTCGTCATCTTTTGTTCAGTATTTGAGGAGAAACAGAGCTCAGAAGTTGAAAGAATGTAATTCCGTCACGCACGTTTAAGCCGTACATCAGTACTTCAAAACTTTTCATATTTAATCTATCACTGATAAATATGCTCAGGGAGCTATTACAATCACACAAAAAGACTCCTTGAGATATTGGAGGACGCGTAGGACCATAAGAAGCTGTGAAGAGGATTCTCCTTGGATAGTCGCACTCTAGCTTATTTATGAGTATTCGTTGATTCATTTTTCTCATTTTCAGCCGTTAAAAGTAATGAAAAATGTAATATTGAATTTACAAGATACGACAAATCAAAATTATCACCGAGAACATCGTCGTACCCCGTCGCCTACTCGTTTATCACCCGTTCATCAAAATCGACCGCGTTCGTCAGCTATCACCTATTCATCATCATTTTCCGATATTCAACATAGCAATCCGGCACCGACAGTTTTTGTGAGTATTTTACTTGTAATGATTCTAGTACAAAACATTTTTTTTGTTCAACCTTTCTAGACTTCATCGAACAATACCAATGCACGAGCAATGTTCGATCAGAGTAATAACAATAATCGAGTTGTTAAAACAAGAGATAATCCTCAAGGAAAATACAGACATATTTATAAAGTGACCAATAAATGAATACGTGTTTTTTTTATGCTGTTGTCTTTTACATGCTAGTTTTTAGTTTATTACATGTACGTTATAGAGTAGATATTTGTTTTAGATATGTTGTTTGTTTTTTGATACTAAATTTTTAAATACAATGTATTCATTGGTCACTCCAAATCTGTCCTATCCACTTACGTTTATGAAATAATCTTGTGTCAGATTTTATTTGCTGTGATGATCTGGAACAGAGAGAATTGTTAGATTAGAGTTTTTCGACATTACGAAAAATTTAGATATTTAGCGAATGGACCAGAAATAACAGGAAAATCTTGCAACTCATTAATAGTCACTCCGATTAGGTTCTAAATGGTTATTATATGCTAAAAGGACAACTATCCATGTATTCTATGATTCTACGTGAAGCCAGTCTTCGCTAACATTTGAGCGAACAACAGATTAGTAGCGATATATTATAATGGCAATTTTTTCTGCTTTTTTTTCTTGATTACGATGCCACGACACATAAAACGATAATTTGTCTTGTACACCCAAATGTTTTACAGTTTTCGTCTCTTCGCTCAGCCCAAGTTCGCACTCAAAAGCTGAAAAATCACTAAGATCATAGCGGTTTACATACTATTGGTTCTGTGGTATTAACACAAAATATAAAAGAAAAAATCTTGAACATTGTGAAACAATTCTAAAATTAACTACTGTCATTGACACGCCACTACCGTTTCGCTCAGTTGCATCTAATGCATAAAGAGTTGATGGTCAACGACTTTTCATTATGACTGTCGTCGAGGTTGTGAGACTAATGCAAAAACATAATGCTTCATGTAACTCTCCTTTTCATTCATCTACAGCAACATATAGATAAAAAAAATTAAAAATGTTGGATAAGGAAAAAGCCCTCCTATATTTTGAAGGGATCTCGAGAAAACCTATTATACTTGGATTTATTATTTGATATTTTGAAGGTACCAGTAGAAGGAGCATCTAAAAATATGTCTGTATCGAAGTTTTGAGTGTCATCAAATAACGTTTAGAGGAGATATGCGTATTGGGCTTCTAAGATATTCATAAGTTCATGGTGACACCTTACCAAGGAGCCGCTTTTGGCATCTTTACTCATTCAAAACTAAAACGTAAAATAAAACTAAATGATGTCTTAATTTACATAATTTTCCTTATGTTGAGACTATTCATCGAAAGCTCGGAAAACAATAAATTAGATTTTATATAGAAATGTTGTACTGTTTTTATAACAGTTATACACTTAATTTTCTCCTATATGGATCAAATTCTAAAACTATGAACTTACAATAAGAATATACTTCTACTCGATAGAATTCGTCTTTTCACACTAATTAATTCGCTTAAGGGTCCTCCCCCCTCTCTAAGTCTTACGGTTCAGGAGTTTTCCAGAGATCAAGGTTCAAAAAGGACACTGAAGTGTGTCTCAAGCTTTTTTTAATATACTTCAAGCGGAAGAGTTCGGGTTTGTTTTATTTTAAACTAGACATCTAACTACATGGTCTGACAGGCGCCGATTTTTCCATTAAGCCTTTACTGGTTTTCCAGGCAACCAACAACCTCCGAAACCTGAAAAATCCTTCTGGGTTTTCTATTAATCCTCAGTTTGACAAAAACTAAGACCTAATTCAAACATCGGCACCTGTCAGTCCATGTAATTTCTTTCCCTCTTTTAAACAAAAAAAGAATGAACTCTCTACGGCAAACCGCTATTAAAAATCTTCGAACGCACTTCAGGTGTAACTCTTATATATTGAAAACGCTGTATTAAATGCTGTATAACATACTCAATTTTAGGACTTGTAGGAAAATGCCTGTAGCTTTTTGATGCAAGGTCATACAGAGTTGTGTGAGGTCTTATTTTGATCAGAAACGTTTACTCTACAAATCTGTGTGTTCAGAAAATTTTTATTTCATAAGTATCCAAGAAAAAGCTATTATTTGAAGATCCGGTTTTCCAAGGCTCCTAGAAAACTTGCTCATAATCCCCGAAAACTCAATTCTGTAACCAAAAGCGATACAGATTCTGAAAGTAGACATTTCAGGCTACCTTTCCATGTGCTTATCTGAAAACCAATTTTTTAACAGAAAATCAGAATTTCTGAGAAGGGGCCCTTAAACGCAAGTGCGTGTATGGAAGTGAAAACATCTTCTAGGAACAGCACTATTCGTTTAAGAATCATAAAAGGCTACATAATCAGCTACTAATGCAATACGGCTGGAAAGTTCATTATAATAACTCATCTGAAGCAGCTGATTCTTTCGATATTTCGTTATAGTAGAAAACTCGAGTCTGTATATGTAAAACAATTATTTTTTGAAAATATGCAAAGATTTTAAAAATATGTTCAAATTGTGAAACTTGAAGAAATTATATAGAAAACTTTAATACGCTCAAAACTGGTGATCCCAAAATTCAGCATATACCTACTTGACCGTATAATTTTTGATCGATAAAAGGACGAGAGCAGATAAGCTAGAAAATCTGTTCACAATGGACTTGACGTTTTCTGGTCAAGAAGTTTCTGCCCGTTTGTTCTGGCCATATTTTGTAATTTTTAAAATATTTTCTTCTCTTCTCAATATCCAATATGGCATAAAAAGTTGAGTATATGGAATACGTTGTACACTGATCCCAGTTTTCGTTGGATCGAAACAGAAAAATACGAAGCCTATTTATTAATTAATAGTTTTCGTAATTTAGGTGCGTATTTGATTTTCCTGGCAACTCGACGTGAACAGCGAAAGCACTCTCGAGATCACATTCTGAAAGAGCAAATATTTTTACATACTGTTGATGCATTTCTCTAACTTCAGATTTCTTTTTTAGATGATGGTAAAATTAAACCTGAATAATGCAGGTTAGCTAACTGGTAAACTCAGTTTCTTAATAAAAATAACATTTTTAGTTTATTTTAAAGATAGTCTTCGTGATCAGCGCTAAAAGCTGCATTTAGTCCATTGTGGTTTGTGAGAATGTGAGTAGGAAAACTTTCTAAACTACCTGAGAGATATCAAAGGCGTCGAAGATCTTGTTTCAAAATACTGTGATACTAAGTAGTAGAATATCATTCTGCAAGAATTACAACAGGTTTTTTATCAGCAAAAGTTAAATCTATTGGTGCTGACTCTCTTATTCACCTTCTTCTGTCCTTTCCACTTGTGGATCGGGAGAAAAAGTTACACAAAGCCCCCAACAGGCTGAGAAAGTGACAAACAAATGCAATTAAATTCTAATCGCATTTAATTTTCTGCTAGTATTTGCACCATCGTCAAGAAATAACGATAACAAGTAAAATGTTTCCTTTATTGATAACAACGACCTGTAGAAACTGCATTTACCCTAGTTAAAACTTAGTTGCTTAGTTGGAATCTTATTAACATCTTTCTAAGATTTTTCTTACATTTATCTAATAGTCTAGGCAATCTTATTAAGATCGTGAAACTCAAATATTTCTGAATTTGAGAAAAGTTTACTGAGGTCATTTTGTTCGTTTTTGGCTGCTAATTATTAACTAAACATTTTTACTGCATCGAACGGTTGAGGATGGGGATGAAACGAATCTTGCTCCAACCGATAGAGGACATCTAAACGTGCCAAGAACGAGCTGAGATCTTTTTCCTGTCACTTTGGACATGGGTTTCAAGATTCAAAATCGTTGAAAAATTTTTTATTTTTTGAAAGTTTCGGGGCATTTCGATTTCGGTTTAATTAAGACGGCATCTCGAGTCTCAGGATAATCTTCTAGAACGTGAGGATCGTGGGCAAACTTCAAAAAGTTGCGAGGTCAGCTTCTTCTGTCCCACCGATTACATACGCATCCAAGAGAAATATTGATAAGTACCTGATTTCATGTGAAGATAAAATCCACGTTTTTCTCATTATTGTAAATGGACATTGAACTTCCATTTCTCTTCTAGGTAAAATCTAAGTTCTATATATAAAAAACGATGAAATATATCTCAGTAGGAGATATGTTCTTCGTATAATTGCAGCTACTTCGTACTCAGAAAAAAATACTATCTTGTGGAATTTTTTCATGAGTTTCATCTGCAGGGAATCAATATCATAACCTTAGTGTATGCCTGAAGTAGAATGAAGAACAATGTTCAAGTATTCGAGTAGTCTATCTGTTACAGACTGCCATTTTTTCACTGATTGATACGCATTCTTCAAAAACGGTGAAAGTTAATTTTTGTATCATTTCGTGCTGTGTAATAAACAGACCTCTCCCTAAAAACAGCATTGAATATATTTTTCTCGCTAATTTTTGCAAACAGAAACAGATAGACTGCCTAACAATAGAAGCGAGTATTAACCACTTTGAAGAGATGCTCAAATTTCAGGTCATTCAAAAGTCTGCTAAAAAACTTTCCACTAGATAGTAGAAGTCAGTGGTAGATTAGAAAGATTGAAAGAACTGAGGAATATATTTTTTCATCAACGGGAAGCGTTTGTCCATTGTAAACTTTCCTTTATCCTCTCTAATGTATCAGATTTATAAAATTCTAATGTTTAATGGATACAGTTTTGTTGAATCAGCAGTGTGATTTTTAATCAGCTACGAGTTAAAATCAGAAGAAATCTTCAATTTTTTTTCTTTCTAGTCTTCAACATTCAGATCAAGAATGTAACTTAGATGTCGAAATTTTCACATTTTGGCTAAGTTGAAAACGCATACTGTCGAAAAGTGCATACGTAGTGTTCTTTACTCTTTCTGTCTGTTCAACCTGTTAAGTTACTGATATATTTATAAATTGCAGGTACTCAGGTATTGAATCTTTCTCGATATCCATCCTCTCTGGTGAATGTCTAGAAAGGATGAATATCTCAAAGGATGATCGCCTAACTACCTGGAATCAACTATGTATACGGTACCTAACAAATCATAGCATGATGGAAAGATAAATATCTAGAAAGTTTGGAATGTTCGAAAGAGTAAAAGAGAAAAGAACGTACCATATTACAGATGACTACAGAAAGAGAGATGAGA